TAGCTGGGACTACAGGCATGCGCCACCATGCCCAGCTAATTCTTTTGTATTTTTAGTAGAGACGGGGTTTCACCATCTTGGCCAGGATGGTCTCGATCTCTTGACGTGGTGATCTGCCTGCCTTGGCCTCCCAAAGTGCTGGGATTACAGGCTTGAGCCACTGCACCCGGCCCCATCAGAATTCTTATACAGGAACCAGTCCCACGGTCTGTAGCCTTTTTATCCAAACAACTTAATCTCGCAGTCCTGGGCTGACCCTCATGCCTACATGCGGCACCAGCTGCCACCCTGTGATACTCTTAGAATTCCTCAAAATCACAGGCTATGCCCCACTTACCCTCTGTAGCTCCCACAACCTCCAAAGTTTAGTTACCTCTTCACATCTTACAAACATACTTTCCGCCCCTTGCCTCCTCCAACTCTATTCACTGTTCATTGAAACCCCGCAGTAACCATTGCTTTCGGTCCTAACTTCAACCCAGCCTCTCACTTAATACCTAACACAAACCCTGAACCCCATGAATGTATACAAGACCCCAGCCCCCCCAGAACACTTTCTCATCGTTTCAGTTTATACTTCCAGTTCTGTCTAAGCCAAGAACTTTTTTCCTCTGTGGTTCTTCTTCTTACATTTGCCTTCCTACCAACTGGAAAGGCACTTGTACGCTAGTTTTCCTTACTCCCGAAATTTAGTTTGCCAGCGGAGACGAAAGCCTCCCTGTTCCCCTTGTGGTCCCGACATGACACAAGTGGCTTATTCCATTAGCCCTTGTAGGGTTAGGAATTACTACTGCACTCGGCACAGGCATAGCAGACCTTACCACTTCAGTCGTCACCTTCCATAGCCTCTCTGATGATTTCTCTGCTAGCTTTGCAGAATTAACTCAATCACGATCCCTTCTTCAAGCTCAAGTAAATTCCCTAGCTGCAGTTGTCCTCCAAAACCACAGAGGTCTTGATTTACTGACTGCTGAAAGAAGAGGTCTTTGCCTATTCCTAAATGAAGAATGTTGTTTTTATGTAAACCAGTCTGGCCTTGTATATGATGACACCAATAAATTAAAAGAGCCCAAAAGCTTGCTAATCAAGCAAATGGTTATTCTGGACTGCACTGGACTGGCTGGACACCATCTAACTGGGAGTCATGGTTTCTTCTAATCCTTAGTCCTCTGATACCTATCTTTCTCCTTCTCTTATTTGGACTCTGTGTTTTCTGATTAATCTCTCAATTCCTACAAAATCGTATATAAGCCATAACCCCTCCGTCAATATGACAAATGCTTCTTCTAACAACCCCACAATATCACCCCATTGCCCCAAGATCTCCCAGCAGTCTAAATTCTTTCTCATTTTCAGGTTTCCATGCCACTCCCAATCCTGCTCGAAGAAGCCCTGAGAAACATTGCCCCATCACCCCTCTGTGCCAGCCTTCCTAATATTCCACTGCCCTCCACTCTTCGTTACTTTTTTCTTTATATTACTAATATAAAAAGACAGGTATGTAAGGTCTTTCAGGTTGACTGCACCATGAACAGCATGGTAACCTCTGTGACCTGCACATACAACCAGATGAGTTTCTGGAAAAAACGATCAACCCCTGTGGCACCTAAGTAACTTGAGACATTCTTCTATTGTTTCTTATTCCAGCCTCAATTCATAAGGCCATTGAACTTTGCAACTGACCTTGGTGAACCTTGTGACTCCAGACCCTAAGACCCCCTCCCAGCTTGCAAAAAACTGCCCTAAACTGTAACTTCTGTAACTTTCCACTGCTTACCCCAAACCTATAAAACCAACTCCTATTCCACCATCCTCCACTGACTCTCTTTTTGGACTCATCCTGCCTGCACCCAGGTGAATAAACAGCCACGTTACTCACATAAAGCCTGTTTAGGGGGTCTCTTCATTCAGAGCATGTGTTTTAACAATATCGAAGCCTTCCGTTTTGTAGTTTTTCCTCTTGTTTTCTCTCAGGAGGATTACATACTGAATATTTTGGAACACGGTGCTCCCTGGACAACATATGGAGGGATTCATACAGCATGTAACATTGGTTTGCACATTTTCAAAACTTCGTAGAAATGTTATCATGCTGAAAATACTCTACCACTTGGCACATGCATTAGAGCTTTCCTTCAAAGGATCTAGTAAGCAAAATACATTCAAAATGATGGCTGAGAGTTAGTGAAAGGCAGAATGAAAAGAATCTTCTGAAAGCAAAAAAGCAGAGATGGATAGAGGCAGAGGGAGGAACACAGAAAAGCGGAGAGGAAACTGAAAGGTGAAATTTATCCAACAGTGGGTTCATTCATTAGGAATGGCTCCTCATTCGGCTACAATTTTTACAGGGCAGTTTATTGGTCTCCTATCCTCTGGCCAGACTGACAGCACAAGAATAGGGTAATCTTTTTTTTCTTTTGAGATGGGGTCTTGCTCTTGTTGCACAGGCTGGAGTGCAGTGGCACAATCTTGGCTCACTGCAACCTCTGCCTCTCGGGTTCAAGCAATTCTCCTGCTTCAGCCTCCCCAGTAGTTGGGACTACAGGAGGGCTCCACCACACCCAGTTAATTTTTGTGTTTTTAATAGAGATGGGGTTTCACTGCGTTTGCCAGGCTGGTCTTGAACTCCTGACCTAAGGTGATCCACCCGCCTTGGCCTCCCAAAGTGCTGGGATTACAGGCATGTATCATTGCACCAGGCCAGAATAAGGCTATCTTTAGGACTCTTTTAACTTAGAATATTACAAAACAAGAGGGTTGAAAAGGGCTGAACCTGCAGCATGTAATCTATAATTAGCTTAAGCATCAGTAAGAATGCTAAAAATCAGTACAAGTATACCCAACGTGGTAGCAAGATAGCTCCCCTCCTGGGACAGCACCGCTAAAGCTTTCAATCTGCGCTAGAGGAGGGTCTCTGTTCTGGTTTTGAGGTCACACTCCTGAATGTGACTTGTCTACTTCTATGGTTCTTTCTGGGCATGTCCCATTTTGGTCAGCCCAGCCACTTTCTGGCATTATCTGCCAGGTAATTAATGGATATATCAATTACAGAAAAATCTGTCTGTCTCCTTGTCTGGATGTACTTAAAATTCAGCATGTAAAGAACAGAGACGTTCTGCTCCAACTAAGTGAAGGCTGTCAACTGCACGTCTAGTGCTTTAGCTATTTCTGTTTCTAGTCGTCATTTTCCAAATCTGCAAAATGCAGAAACATTTGAGATACAAGCCCTCCTCCAAAGCATGCCCATTCTACAAATTGCCTTCTGCTGGCCACCGCCCTTCAGCACAGCACTGCGGTTCTCCTGCCTGGGACGGGGTCTTATTCCTTTCCTTGTCACTGGCTGTTCCAGGTATGTGGTAAAAGGGTCCTCCTGGAACATCCAGGGCATGGAACATTTTCCCCATTACTGAGATCACTGATTGAGAGCAGCAACTAGACTGAATCCCCTCCCCTGGTCCCCAACCCAAGCAACTGTCTGAATGTTAGAATAGGCACAGGGGTTGTTAAAGTTGAGAAAGACTTACTTTTCATAAACAGTACATGTTTTCTAAGGAGAGGTTTATTTAATGAAGTCTTTTTTTTTTCCCTGAGTCTTTGGTAGATTTGAATTGTAAAATAGATCTGGAGCTGTTTTGAGGGGAAGGATAGGGCTGGAGTGGAGAGAGCAGAATTCCTCTACCTGGAGAAGTCCAGTATCTGGGAATAGGAGGTATGGTAAGGCCACAGAAATATCCCCAAATATCCCCTAGGTAGAGCGGCCTAAGACAGAGAGACCCAATATTCCATTTAATATAATTTGTGTTATAGTATTACCTTCACACTATTTCCAAACACACACTCTCACATCTGCTTCCAACAAATCTTTAATACAGTTCCCTGAACACTCAATATCTTTGAGTAAAGACGTAGAGAAAGTAGCTGAATTTCCTCTCTGAGACACGGATGTTGCAGAGGAAGAAGAGATAGTCCATGCACTGCGCCAATTCAACCAAAGCAGAAGCTGGAGACAGAGACGACAATGAGAATGAAGCCTCCACCTCCCCTCTATCCACCTGGACGTTCCGCCAAAATCATCTCAAGAGGTTAGGAATTCCACGAAATGTGGAACAGGGCTTTGGGCCCATTGTAAAGGACAAGAAGGACCGCAGCTGATGGTTCCCAAAGACCTCTCTTCCGCACTGACCCAGGGTCCAATTGCCCGCACAGTTTCTCCTCCTAGATGTCTAATAAGTAACTCCTATTTAAAATGGCCAAAAACCAAACTCGGCTCCACCCACTAAACACGCTTCCCCCTCAGTCTGTCCCATCTCAGTTATCAGCCCCATATCCACAGAGTTGCTCAAGCCCCAAATCAATGAGTCAGGCTTGATTCCGCTTTCTCTCATTTTCTCTATCCAGGAGAGGAGCAGGCCTTGTCACCCCTCCTCCAAGACACATCCCAAGTTGATATTTCTCACCTTCTCTGCACATCTCCATTGGTTCCACCCAACAAGTCTCAGCCACCATTCCTCAACCGGACTCCCAGTTTTGTTCAACTGGTTACAGCAAAAAACCTCCCTAACCAGTTGCCCTGTCTTTCCTCTGGTCCCCAGTGGCCTTTTCACTACACGGTAGTAGCAGCCAGAAAGGGGTGTATCTGTGGATAAATCAGACCATATTGCTCCACCATTTACAATCATCCATGGCTTCCCATTACAATCCAAACTCCTCTCTGTGACCTAGGGGGCCCCATGTGACTGGGCCCTGTTTACCACTCTGACTCTTTCTTCCTCCATTCAAAGGGTGTCATCCACTCTGGGACCTTTCTTCCCACATACATACAAAGCTTCTTGCCTCAGAGGCTCTGTACATGCTATTTTTCTGCATGGAATGCTTTTCCCTTAAATTTTCACCTGTCTGCCCCAACCCCTAAACTTCTAGCCCCTACTCACTCTCTACCCTTTATCTTGTTTTGTTTTCCTTTAATACTTGTTGCTTGATTACATAATTTTCACCTTCCTGTCCTCATTAGAATGTAAGCTCAGGCCAGCTGCAGTAGCTTGCACCTAGAATCCCAGCACTGTGGGAGGCAAAGGCAGGAGGACTGCTTGAGCCCAGGAGTTTGGGACCTGCTTGGGCAATATAGCAAGACACTGTCTCTCCAAAAAGAAAAATGTTTTAAATTAGCCAGCGTATTAGTCCATTTTCACGCTGCTGAAAAGACACACCCGAGACTAGGAATAAAAAGAGGTTTGATTGGACTTACAGTTCTACATGGCTGGGGAGGCCTGAGAATCATGGCGGGAGGCAAAGGGCACTTCTTAAATGGCAGCGGCAAGAGACAATGAGGAAGAAGCAAAAGCAGAAATACCTGATAAATCCATCAGATCTCATGAGACTTACTATCACGACAATAGCATAGGCAAGACTGGTCCCCATGATTCAATTACCTCCACCTGGGTCCCTCCCACAACATGTGGGAATTCTGGGAGATACAATTCAAGTTGAGATTTGGGTGAAGACACAGCCAAACCCTATCAGCCTGGCATGGTGGCGTGTGCCTGTAGTCCCAGCTACCTGGGAGGTTGAGGTGGGAGGATTGCTTGAGTCCAAGAATTTGAGGCAGCAGTGAGCTGAGATGGCACCACTGCCCTCCAGCCTGGTCGACGGAGTGAGACCATGACTTAAAAAAAAAAAAAAAAAAAGGAAGTTCGGTGAAGGGAGAGCTGTTTTACCCCCAGCTCCTGGAACAGTACCGGCAGAGAAAAATGCTCAATACAAATTTATGCAATGAATACATCGGAGATTCTCTTGTTTCCTGCTTGCCCTCTGTCAGAGGCCACCCCCAATTGTGGCACCTGGTAAAAGCCTCACTCATTCGATTTTTGTCATTTAACTCCTTCCTGGAAGTCAGGTAAAACCAACCACTTATATGTGTAGATACTCTTTTCCAATTTTAGTTTGGGGGTTCCCCTGGAGGAAGCAGAGGCCCTAGAAAAATTCACACAGGGGTAAAGTTTTATTTTTTCAGAGTATCCAGCTTTACCCCTTGGCATTTTCATTTTCTTCATAGACATTTTTCCAAGGGGTTTTAGAATCTTTTTGTTTCATTTAAAAAATTCACTTTTTCACTTATCTATTCAATGTTGCTGACTGAGTTCTGACCACTGACAAAAATAACCATTGTGTGTGTGTGTGTGTGTGTGTGTGTGTGTGTGTGTGTGTGTGTATGCGTGATGTGCATGTGTAAATAGCAGCTGATGAGGGCCTTGAATTGTTCCAAGGTGCTAGAAAATACCTGTGTTCTGATAGCCCGTAATGCACATGCATGGGCCAGCCAATTGTAGTGACAGCTCTTTAATGAAGAAATGTCATACACATTAATACAGAATTTGCATTTCCTCTTAGTACCTGTAGGTGCCTAGTTCAATAGTTTCTGTGGTTGAAATGCTAAAATGTACAACTGGAATGCTGTTGAACTCTAAATGGCTAAATCCATGTATACCTGTATGTTGTTTTATTTACACACACACATGCATATATGCGTGTGTATATTATATTTAATATAACTTATTCTATATATTTCTCTATATAGAAATTCTATATATTTATAAATATTTCTATATTCTGTCTACATAATTTATTCTATCTATCTATATCTATCTATATAGATAGATATAGATACATAAAATAAATTAAGCCATAATGTCCCTGGGCCCAACTAAAGTATTCTTTGTTCTCCTGTTAGGCCAGAAAGGTGTTTATTATGTTGAGGGAAGTTCTTGCACTCACAACCCTAAGCGATTCCCCAGCATAGCTTAGAGGCGATGTTTCTGCCAGAACAAGCCCCGAGTCATTCTCCGCTTCTCTCCTGAGATCTGGAGAGTACAAGGGTGCCCACACCTCTCCCTCCACCAGGCCAGGGCGATTAGGAAAGAGTCAGAGGCGAAGAAGAAAAGGAGAAGAAGAGAAACTGGTGAGAGGAAAAAGGGTCAACATGCTCAATTCTTTCCTCCTCTGATTACAGCCAGAGGAAGACAGCCTGAGGGCCCCTTAGCTGACTCTTTTGAAGGTCTGGCAAGGATATAATGCATTTCATTTAGCTGTGCTTCTATTACTTTGAATGCTTGGTTTTTCTAAGGGAAAAGTAATTGGGGAAGGAATGATAAGGAAGAAAATTTTCTTGCTTTTATTCTATTTATAAATAGAATACAAGAGGGACATGGAAATAGCATGAAAGAGTCACAGTTTTCTTGCAATCACTAATATCCTACACTAATGTATCTGGGTGGCAGAGCAGATGGAGCCATAATGGTTCCATGATTCCATGGACTGAATCATGTTCCCCCAAGATTCATATGTTAAAGCTGTACCTTCAGTGTGATGGTATTAGGATGTGGAGCCTTTCCAAGGTAATTAGGTCCTGAGAGTGGAGTCCCCATGATGGAATCAGTGCCTTCTGAGGAGAGATCGCTTTCTGTCCACTACGTGAGGACACAGCAAGAAGACAGGTTTCTGCAAGCCAGGAAGAAAGCCCTCACCAGGATTCCATTAGTACCTTCATTTTGGGCCTTTTAGCCTCCAGAACTGTAGGAAATACATGTTTGCTGTTGAAGCTACCTGGGCTATGCTATTTTGTGATAGCTGCCAAGCTAAGAGAGTGTTTTACATAATCAATTAAGCAGATATTTCCTGAGCATCACTAGCACTCTGGGTACTGTTCTGAAGTTAAGTATAAAGCAGTGATATATCAGGTGAGGTTCTGCTTTCATGGGACTTCCATTTGAGTGGGAAAATACACCACAGACCATAGACAACTAAACAGACAAGTAAATATTAGATAGTGATAAGAGCCACAAACAAAACACAACAGAGTCATGCCATGTGGAGTAACTGAAGGGGCTCAGGTCATCAAAGGAGACTTTACAGGGAGAGAACATTTGAGCTGAATGACAAGGAAGAGCTGAATAGGAGACAATCTGGTGGAAAACATTCCAGGCACTGGGAGCCATACATCATGTCTATGTAAGACCAACAGTGACTTCTGAGTTAGGTCAAGCAAAGAATGAAGTGGACTTGAGACAGGCTTGAGTGTTAATATCCAAAAGTGAAAGCCAAAGATGCACAGCAAGAAATTCATATAAGAAGCTTCAGGTTTTGAATACCAATGATATAACCATGGTTTCCGAGTGACCTCCTATTCCACAAAAATCCTCACCTTGTATTTCCTGTATTATCACCATCTGCCATCCTCACAACATGCACTATCCAAATATCATCATGAGGCTGGATGCAGTGGCTCACACCTGTAATCGTGGCACTTTTGAAGGCCAAGCAAGTGGATCATTTGAGGTCAGGAGTTCGAGATCAGCCAGGCCAACATGGTGAAACTCTGTCTCTACTAAAAATACAAAAGTTAGCTGGGCAGTATTGGCACATACCTGTAATCCCGGCTACTCGGGAGGCTGAGGCAGGAAAATTGCTTGAGCCTGGGAGGCGGATGTTGCAGTGAGCCGAGATCGTGCCACTACCCTCTAGTCTAGGCAGCAGAGTGAGACCCTGTCTCAAAAAAGAAAACAACAATAACAAAACAAATATCATCATGAGGTTAACAACATTACCATCTGCCTCCAATTAATTTTTGTTAATTTTTAAAATTAACATATTTGTGAGGTCCATTTGTTACAATTGATGAACCAACCCATATTGATACATTATTATTAATTGAAGTCCACACTATTCAGTTTTTCTTCTCTTTTTTTGGAGTGAAACCCTATCTTACTTTGGTGCCCAGACTGGGGTGCAAGTGGCTTGATGAGGGCTCACTGTAGCCTTGACCTCCCAGGCTCAAGTGGTCCTCCCACCTCAGCACTTCCTTCCCCGCTGCCCTCTCCCCCCCTAAATAGCTGGGACTATAGGCACATACCACCACACCTAATTTTTAAAAATTTTTTGTACAGATAGGGGTCTCACTATGTTGCCCAGGCTCTATTCAATTTCGAATGCCCTTTTCCTGTTAAGACCCCATCCAGGATACCACACTGCAATTACTCATGTTTCCTTAGGCTACTTTTGGCTATCACAGTTTCCTAGACTTTCCCTGTTTCTGCTACCCTTGACAGTTTTGAGCAGGGACTGATCAGGCAATTTGTAGAATGTCCCTCACTTGGGATTTATCCGATGTTTTTCTCGAGATGGGACAGCGGTCATGGGTTATTGGGAGAGAGACCACAGAGGTAAACTACCACTCTTATCCCGTCATGTAACAGTGCATGCTGCCGCCATGACTTGTCCCTGCTGATGCTGACCCTCATCTCCTGTCTGAGGTTCCAAGTGATTTTTGATTCTTCATTCTCCCATCCCTGGAACCTATCATTCATCAGGCCTCACCTAATATATCTCTCAGGGTTCTCTCCCAGAACCCACTCCTCATCAGCGTTATCTCCACAGTCTCGAGTCTAAGTTCCCAGTGTGTTCTCTGCATCCTCCGCCACATGATCAAAGCTCTAATCACAGCCTTTCTCTGGCTACATAATCCCACTTAGGAATAAAAGCTTTGTGTTAGTTAAGTTAAAGTCCAGGCTTTTCAGCATTGCTTTGGGGTCTTTTTGTCAATCTGAAAGAAAGCTACTTTCCAGTTTGGACTCCTGCTCTGAGACCTGGGTACCGTACCAGCACACCTCCGTCACACCCTCTGCTCATTCCGTCACGCTGTGGTGGTTACTGTTTATTAAGCCTCTGTCCTATGCCAGGGAGCTTTCTGGTCCCAGGAACACAAAGCTTCTAAGAAAGGGTTCCCTACACTCAAGGAATAAGGTGTAGTTGTAATGACAGGCATGGTAAATGGATAATCCCAAGGTTGTTAGGTAGATGCGAGGCATTTATGTGGTGACTACAAATTTTAACGGGAGCCTAGTTGCCAAAGCCCTTCACTGTGGCCCAGTACTTAGGCGAGATTACACTAAGAAAATGGAATCTGAGCAACGACTTCAAGGAAGAAACAAGTTCACCAAGCAGACAAGAAGCCAAGAGAAGTTCTGGGCACGGGGCACAGCACGCACTAAGGCATGGCCACTCAGCAATTTAATGTGGAGGTATTTGCACAAGATGAGTAAGAGCTAAACTGTGATGAAACAAGCTAAGGAACTTGAATTTTAGCCCACAATTAAAGCACAGTGTTTTCAAGCTGTAGGTCTTGAAATCAATTTAGTGAATCCCTGACTATGATTATTTAAAAATGAAATAGAGGAGAAAAATTTGTTTTGTGCAAATGTCATATTCATTACTGTACCATAATGTCTTTATGTCTTGTTTGCAGTGTAAACTATACTTCTTACTGGAAATCACCTTTACATAAAACATTGCTATATGGACGTTTTGTAAGGATATATAGCAGGAATGTATTCTCAAACAGTATTTCTCAAACTTACAGATCCCGACCAGGCGCGGTGGCTCATACCTGTAATCCTAGCACTTTGGAAAGCCAAGGAAGGCAGATTGCTTGAGCCCAGGAGTTTGATACCAGTTTGGGCAACATGGTGAAACCCCATCTCTACAAAAAAAAATTTTTTTTTAATTAGCTGGGCATGGTGGCATGTGCCTGTAGTCCCAGCTACTCGGGAGGCTGAGGTAAGAGTTGCTTGAGCCCAGGAGGTCAGGGCTGCAATGAGCCCTGATTGTGCCACTGCACTCCAGCCTGGATGACAGAGTGAAATCCTGTCTGAAAAAAAAAAAAAAAATTCTTGGCCCTAATCCAGACTTACAGATTCAGAATTTCTGGGGGAGGACTGGTAATTCTGCATTTGTAATCAATACCCCAGGTGCTTCTTATGAAAGCTTTGGAACACTGATACTTTAAGAGAATAATAGAAAAAAAGATCAGAATACGAAGAAACTGGATACAGAAAGAGCAGTTGGAAGAAGACACTTGCTATTACCCGAGAGATGGCAAAGCTTGAACCAAGGCGACAGCAGTGGGGGAAGGAGGAGGGGCAGGGCCTTGAAGAGGCAGACTGTCAGAGGGCGAGCTGCAGGCCAGCTCCCAGGCCTCTAAGGACTGGATCTTGAACACTCTCATAAACGTTGGGAATATGAGAGATGGAATAGGTTGCTGGGAAAGATAATGAGCTCAGTTTTGGAACACATTGACTTTGGAGTGAAATCCATAATGAAGAGCAGACATTTGGACAGGCTGTTCTGGAACTCAGGATAGAGGTCAGGGCTGGCGATGAGGATTTCTGAATCATCTGAATCACCAATGTATAGGTTGGAGCTACAGTGAAATTCCTCCAGGAAGCAGGTGGAGTCTGAAGGGCCAAGAATATGTGGAGGCCTTCAGCACTGCCGCCCCTCCTCAGCAACCTTCAGCCTCATCTTTCTCCTCTGTGCCCTTCCCCCAAACTCTTTTTCTACCTCACACAATCTTATCAAAGGCCATCTCCCTAACTGCTACCACCCTAGATGGAATTGACCTCTGCACCGTGGGATGGTAACTCTTTGTACTCCTTTTATCACATCTGCACTCATTTTAGATTAGGGCTAGTGTCGTCTCGTTTTCTTTTTCACCTGTTAGAAGCAGAAGCATGTCTGGATTGCCAGCACCCAGCACTAAGTTGGTGTCTAGTACATGTCTGTGATCTTGTGGTTAAGATTTAAGGATGATTCATTAATTTGGGCTTACAATTCTAATGTCTAAAGTGTAAATGAATCTACTCAAACAACAGCTGCCAAGCTATAATAAATTATTGCTGATGGCATTTCTCGACACAGTACCATCTGGTCTTTGTCTTCCAATTTCTAGTTCAAGGTTCTTACATTTTATTTTAACAACAGCTACACAAATTTATCTTTTTCATATCACTGCATGGCACAGAAAGGGCATACGTTAAAGTCACGGGTGGTAGAATAAGGTTCGCTACATCTTAATAGCTAAGATATTCTGGAACAAATTACTTATGTATTCTTTGATCAGAAAGTAAATACTTTATACAACCCAAAACTTAGGCATTTAATATTTAAAAACATTTTATTATAATTTAAAACATATAATAATAGAAAGAATAATAATAAACCTCCAAATACCCATTACCCAACTTCAATAATTGTCAACTCAGAGTCAATTCTGTTTTATCTTTACCTCCTACTCCATTGCATATTATTTTGAAGCAAATGCCAGAGAACATACCCTATCAGTAAGAGTTTTTTTTAAACCATATTATCGCACCTAAAAATTAATAATAATCTCTTAACATCATTAATATCAAGTCATTGTTCAAATGACCAATTTTCTCATAACTGCAATTTCTTTTACAGTTTAAAAAAATTAAGATCCAAATAAGGTCCACGTGTTGCAATTTGTCAATATGCCTTTTAAATCTCTTTTAATCTATAGGTTTCCCCCTGAACCCCTCTTTATTTGATGAAATCAGGTCATTTGTTCTGTAGAGTTTCTCATAGTCTAGTTTTTTTGCTGTCTGCATTTCCCCAGCGTAGTGTAACATGTTCCTCTGTCCCCTGTATTTTCTGAAGTTGATATTTGGAACAAGAAACTTGGTAAGATTTGAATTTGCTTTTTTGGCAAGACTTCTTCATGAATGGGTGTATCCTTCCTTCATCAGTAGGTCCATATTGTTTGGTTGTCTGTATTCTTGTTATGTTAGCAATCATTTCTCCTTAAGGCCTAGACCCATTTGTTCTTTAGAGGCTCTAGAAGGGGGCTCTAATTCTATCATTCCTTTGTTGTTTAGTGGTTGAATTCATTCTTTAAAGCAGAACTTCACCTCATATACTATTTAGTTACTCGGGGATAAAGTTCATATAAGAAAGGCAGGAAAAAATGGTAGAATTTATTTACCAGTTATCAATTCAATAATGAGTTGCCTCCCAATCATCTTCTAAACATGACCAGTTTTTTGAGCATTATAATGGACTCATAGATTTAAACATATTTGAGGTGTTTCAATCTATTGCTGGTATTATCCCTATTGATGCCAAAATTGTGACACCTTTGGTCACTGGGAGCCTCTTTAAGTTGGTTCTGCTGTCCTTTAAGGAATGACCCTGTAGCCTTCAATAGCTTCCTCACTATCTGTATGAAAAGGTGCTTCAGGGTTCCCTTGTTCATTTCCTGCCCTAGACCTTTACTCAGCCATGTCTTCAAGGAGCTTGGCTCTTTCACATGGGGAATGGTATTTCAGGACATCAATCAGGGATTTGGGGGTGCTCATTGCACCTGGATTGGCTAGAGACCAACTTTACATTTTTGAATTTCTCATACATACTAGTGGCTAACAGTGCAGGTGCCAGAGGTAGACTGTCTGGGTTTGAATCACTGCTCTACCACGAATTAGGTATGTGACACTGCACCAGTTTACCAATTTATCTGTGCTTCAGTTTTCTCAATTGTGAAAAGAGAATAGTAACAGTAGTTAAATTTGTATGATCCTGGTAAAGTTTAAATGAAGTAATTAACATAAAGTGCTTAGAATAGGTCCTGGCACATAGTGCTATATATATTCTTATTACCAGTCTCTTCCCAGGCTTGTCATTGTTGCCTGCTCACACTGTGGGTCATCTGATATGCAACATGGGCTTACATTTTATTCATATCGAGTGATATACTGATTTATTTTAGAGAAATAGTCTAAGTTACATCTGCAACATTTGTCCTACTAATCTGCTACTTTAAATGATGCAATACTCGCACATACTAGAACATTTCCTATAAAGGAATCCAAATTCAACAAAACTAATGGCATTCATAAGGTCACAAGCACCAGTCTACTTTCTGTTTTTTATTGCCTGGAAAAAGGCAAATTAGCAGAAGCCTGGCTAGGAGTCACCCACTACAGAGTTAAGGTCTTACTTTGCACTGGGGGCTTTGACAAGTCACATTCATCTTGTCTTTCCTAGTTGAACACAGGAAGCTGTTAGGGGTGGCATTCCCCAAGCCCTCCAGTTCCCTTTCTAATCAAACTGGTAGAACTACAAGACATATCCCAGATCACATAAATCTTAATGTTGGTTCTGTCTGGAAGCCCATTTATATTATGCAATCTTGATCTATTCAGCCATTTGCCATAACTTTCTTCAGGTTCGAGGAGTTAAGATCTCAGCATTGTTGCAACAGAAGACAGCAGCAGACCTCTGGGCTGTTTCTTTGGTGGTTCATTAGACCCCAACAGTCTCAAGGTACATCTTCTCTAAACCTAAAAACCCTAAAGAGCTCTAACAAGAACAGTCTCTAAAGTAGCTAAATCATAGTTTCGTTAAAGCAAAGGCATTTGTCTGCAATTTTATATATTTGCTTTACTGACATATAATTGTGCTATCATTGCAACAGCCATGCCAAGTTGTCTACAGCTCACTGGCTAGAAATTCTCAGCATGCACTAGAGTCCATTTTTGCTTAAACAAAAATTTACTCACTTGTTTTATTCTGTTATTTCTTTTTTCTCTTGACAGCACTCAGCATTTCTAAAAGTAGCTGTCGTTAGATTTCTTGACATTTAAAGCACTTTGGATTAAAATATAATTGTAATCATATATTTGTTAACAGGCAAGTATAAATAAATAGTAAATTCATAGAATAAAAACTATTCAGCCACTAAAATTATAAAATGCATTTTAAAATACTGACATAGAAACATGAGAGAAAAACAAGCTCCAAATAGTTTGGATAGTAGGATTATATTTTAGTAAAATAATAATTGTTTTACATGTTGGCATATACATAGAAAAAAATCTGAAGAAACTAGCTGTTAATAGAGATTATCTCCAGGGGTGAGATTATCATTGACTTTTCCTACATATTCCTATAGTCCCTGAATTTCTTATGAATATTTATTACTTTTCCAATCAGAAAACATTTACTTTTTTGAAAATCGATGTTGTTACAACTTGTTCAGAAAATTGAAATAATACATTATCCATTGTAATAATAATTTTAGTGAGATTTCTCATGGTAGTTTCTCAATCAAGTTCTATAATACTAATAAGTTTCTGTGAAAATTGAAGTTATTATTAATACAATAACTGGAGTACTGAAAAATAGTAAACTTAGTCTTTACAGATTCCAAAACAATTCAGTATGTATTTTTATATATATGTAAAACCAAAAGGAATTTAACACTTTGAAATCTTTAGAACAATCATCAGAGCACATTCATTCATTAAGCATGAATTTCTGCTACGTAGTCTGTGCCAGGCAATGTGCTATATATGCAAGTATGAGCTACACATTGATGAAAAAGATAAACCCGGTTTCTGTCTTCATCTGATGGCATCAAGCAGCCCTGTGCATATCCTGGAGCATAGGAATAATTAACTATAAGAATTGCTGCATGTGAATGAATAATAAGCAAATTAATTAATTTTTTACTGTTAAAGTGGATTTTTCAATTGATAAGAGCTAAGTGACTGGAAAGAATGTATATTTAATCAGCACATTCAAATTTCACAAAATCATTACTCACTGTATTACCTATGTTCACATATCTTGACACCTCCAAATCAAAAAGAAAAATGAAAGCTTATTA